AAAAAATATAACATTAATAATTAAAAATGTGATAATAATATTAAAAATAGTGATCAATTTTTTCTCTTTACCTTATCTTTATGTGGTTTATTAGTATAAAAACAAGTCAGTCAACATTAATAAATCTAGACAAGCATGAATCTTAAAATAAGTCACAAGGCCTAAGAAACCAAGCAACACTTTAAACAAAACCAATTAAAGCTTGGCAGCAATAATAAATCACTTCAGTAACAGCACAAACAATATCTCCCTTGGCCCACCATTAAGACTATCCTTTCCTGGTTCATCCAAAAATTCAGCAACATGATATTGGTGCATTTCAATTTGTCTTCACCAGCATTGTGAGGCAGTAAAGAGGATCCGATGACGTTAAAAAAATATCAATTTTGCTTTCAACCGCTAACAACATTCAAGCCTCTTAATTCAACAGCACAAAACTGTACCAATAATTTTTTAATGTTCAATCCATCATGTAGTGGTAACTGAACAAAAGGACAGCACGTGTATTTCCCAACTAAGTCTTAATGCAAGCCTGAAGATGTCCAAGTCTCCTGATTTGAACCTCTACCTTGACTTAGTTACAGCAACCATCTCATTCTGATACAAGAAGGAAGAAAAAAAATATATTGAGTGATAATTTAATATGTTCAATGTCTTTCTGATTTAAGCAAGAAAACATTAGGTAAGTGCAAAAAATAATAGAGCATAAAAGTTTAAATATGTAATCATAAATCCATATCTTGAGAACACTCTCTTTTTTTTTTGGTTAAAACTCTTTTTTGGTCCCTAAACTATTGTACAGACCCTCAATTTGGTCCCTGAACTAAAAAAATCACTGATTTGGTCCTTATTATTTACCATTTTTACCCCGATTTGGTCCTTCCGTTAAAAATTGTGTGACGTGGCATGTTATTTCACGGTTACCGAATGACATGTCATATAGTAATCCACACGGAAGATAATATAGCAAAAAAGTGATGACGTGGAAAAAATAATAATATAAAAACATATTATGAAAAATAAAATTAAAATTTTTTTTTCTTTTTTCTTTTTTTCTTTTTTCTTTTTTCTTTCCCTTTCCCTTTCTCCTTCCCCTTTCCCTTCTCTTTCCCCTCAGAACCCAGCAGGCTTGGGTTCCTTCGAACCCACCCAAGCGCTGGGTTCCTTGTGAACCCAGCACGCTTGCCCGAGTTGGGTTCCAAGGAACCCAGGCGCTGGGTTCAAAGAACCCAGCACGCCTGGGTTCCTCGAACCCAAGGGTAAAAAACATATATATTTTTTCTGTAGGTTTGGTGTTTGATGATGATGAAGAAAGCAAGGCAAGGAAAAGGAAGGAAAAAAAAGGGCGTTGTTGGGTTCGATTCAACCCATGTGCTGGGTTTGTTTGGTGCTCGGTTTGTTTGCTCCAGGAAGAAGATGATGGCAAATTCGTAATTTTGGTGGGTCTCACTTTTGTTAGGTTGGGCAAGGACATGACATGTCACGTTGCCATGTCATTATTTATTCATTTATACAACTGACGTGTCTCAAATGTTTGACATGTCATTAAATTGTCATGAGATAACGGTAAGATTTTAACGAAAGGACCAAATTGAGGTAAAAATGGTAAATAGTAGGGACCAAATCAGGAATTTTTTTAGTTCAGGGACCAAATCGAGAGTCTGTACAATAATTTAGGGATCAAAAAAGGATTTTAACCTTTGTTTTTTTTTTGGCCGTCATATCTTGAGAACACCTTTGAAGAGCTAATTGTAGATGTGAAGGATTGAAGAAATGTCATAATAAGATGGCATATATCAACATGGAATCACTGAAAAAAAAAATATTAAAGTTTCTTTCCTCATTTAATAACTTTTATTGTATAATTTAAATTATTTTAAATAATATAATAAATTTTTATTAATAAATTTTTATTTAAAACTTTTTTTTTAAAA